GTCTATTTTCAGTCTTTGGCAGGTAGCAAGCCAATTTTTCCACACCATTTATTAAAGAGGCTATCGTTCTTCCAGTGAGTTTGTTTGGGCCCTTTATGAAAGATTAGTTGGCTGAGTGTGTTTTTGGTTGTGGCTGTTTCTTCCAGTCTGTGAAGCATTTTTTGAACATTAAGCTTCTTAATTGGAACTGAGTTCTTTAGTCAGTTTTCTTTTTTGGATGCATTTTAAAATGCTTATACTATGCAGAGCTTTGTGGGGTTTTGCTTTGTGCTTACACTTGAGTTGCTATAAAGTCTTTCCTTACCTCACTTGGTTGGTTTCTCTATGTAGCTTTGCTTTTTTAGTGGATGTGTGCTGCTGCCTTGAATTGTGCCAGTAACTCTGGGCAAGTTCATGTGCCTTATTGTTTGACTTATTTTTATAGTGTATTTTTTCTGTTGATTTTAGTGTATTAGTCACTGTGCTTTGGTTGTTTGAACTATGTAGGAAGTATTAGTTTACCAGATAAGATTAAAAATGAAGATTTTTAAATATTTATTGAGCTCTTGCTGGTATTAAAATTCTGTAGCACTTCATTTTATATAAGATATTTGTATTATTAGCAATTATGTCATCCTTTTTGTGGATGAACTATTCATCTTTTGTAACCCCAGCACTGCTGCATAGTAGATGCTCAGTAAATATTCATTCTTTTTTAAACAATAAGTTTACTATACATTTATTTAGTACTTTTTAATTATTTACTGGCATTGTTAAGGATTGAACCCAGTGCCTCATGCATGTGAGGCAAGCACTATATCACTGCACTGTTTCCCCAGCCCAATAAATGTTTTTTGGGGTGATCTTTAAATTCTAATCCATAGCAGTATTTGTGCAATTGCATGGAAAAAATATAATCATTCTGTACTGCAAACATTTGCTAATTTTAAAAAATGACTTGTATGCCCCAGTGAGGGACTCATGAATTGTTTTTCCCTAACCATATTCCTAAAATAGGTTTCTGCCCTGGGCTTCTCCAGAAAGCCTAATCTTATGTCTTCACAGCTTTTCATTTCTGAGTTTCTCTTTTGAATGAGTGGTTCCCAGGTTTGCACCAGAGAAGCAGAGCCCACCTTCTGCACTTGTGTTCTGCCAGGACTATGCATCACTGGTAGGCCCTTAGAAAAATTGTCTGGTATAGCTTCATAGTCTTCTTTAGTGCTTGTTTGGTCAATAATAATGACCAATGTTTCAGTATTGAAAGATGATACTTTAGGAAGTAATACAACGATGAAAGTAGTGGTCATCATGTTAAGCAAACTAAGCTAGACTCAGACAACTCAGACAATCAGATATTTCCCCAAATATGTGGAATCTAAAAAAAGATGACATGAAAGGAGAAAAGAGACTGCTATTACAGGAGAGAGGAATACGGAGAGGATGATGTGAAAAGGAAGTTAGAAGAGACTATGATGTTGGTGTGGATTTATTGAAGTGTGAAAGTAGCAGGTTACAAAATGATACATATGTTATTGTCAGTTTTTTATTTTAAAAAGACATTGAGGGGCTGGGGATTTAGCTCAGCGGCAAAAAGCACCTGCCTGGCAAGCGCAAGGTCGTGAGTTCGGTTCCCGGTACCGGAGAAAAACCAAAAAAAAAAA